CCTCCTCAGGGGCGCAGGGGTCTCCTCAGGGGTGCAGGGGGCCTCCTCAGGGCTGCAGGGGGCCTCAGGGGTGCCGGGGACCTCCTCAGGGGCACAGGGGGTCTCCTCAGGGGTGCAGGGGGCCTCCTAAGGGCTGCAGGGGGCCTCCTAAGTGTTGCAGGGGGCCTCAGGGGTGCCGGGGGCCTGTGCACTTTGGGGTTGAAACCCAGAGTCACAGGAGCACCCCCAGGACTCTGCCCTAGGCCCGCGCACTCTGGCTAACGGTGTCGGTGAGAGTCTGCTTTCCTCGGAGTGCCTGGGCTCATTGCTCAGATCCCTAGTGTGTTTGCCTGGCCTGAGCTGGGTGGCACTGGCGGGCTAGGAGACATGTGCCATGTCTGCCAAGTTAGAGCTGCTCCAGAAGGGCCCCCTGCCAGGACCTGTGTCAGCCAGACAGGATCCCCCCAGCACGGCCCCACGTGACAGAAACTGCCCCTGTGCTGCAAGCTATCTGGGCCCTCGACTGTGCCCCCAGCGGGCTCATTCCTTCTGTAGCTGGGAGCAGTCACCCGAGGTCACGCACAGAGCTAGTTGGACCCCACAGGACAGCCCCCTGGCATCGTGGATGGGAAGTTGCTTTTCATTTGTGGACACGGGGTCCCTTACAAGTCCGTGTCCATATTTTCAAGACCCAGCCTGGTTGGGTTCTGGCTTCTCAGGAGGGCGCCTGTCTTGGGCGTGGGTCCTGCTGGTCACCCCAAGGCAGTGGCTCCGCCAGATGTGCCACACTGACCACAGCCCGCTCTGTGTTTCAGCACTTTTACCTGTTTGGCACTCCCACCAGCGGCACAGCCCTGCCAGGCAGGAGGGCCCCACCTTACTGAGGGTCAGACTGGCATATGGAGGGATGGAGTCATTTCTTTGGGTTTATATCGTCCAAAAAAAGGCAAAGCGAAGATTTGCAACCCGTTTGTCAGGACAGAAGGCGCCTGCAACCTGGCAGGGCAGCACTGGGCAGTCCCTGCTCAGCCAGCAGTGGTTACCGCGGGGCTCTGCTGGCTTCTGCGCTGGCTGTGGGAGGTCCCTGGCTTTCCCTTCCTGGAAGGTGTCCTCCTCACCACAGAGCTCCGTGCCCGTGCCCGGAAGTCCCTGCTCACCTGGTGGCTGCTTCTCCAGCCCCAGGAGTTGCCTTGGGGCGTCCCAGTGGAGAAGGGCTGAGGCCCGGCGTGGGACCTGTGAGGAAGCCACTGGAAGGTGGGAAGAGGTGGCCAGCTGGACAGTTCCCCCCACAGTCCCCCTGGCCCCAGAGCAGTGGCCACCATGGTCAGTGTGCAGGGGGCCAAGTACTGGTGTGTGTGTTGGCTCGGCTCTGTCCAGCTCCTCCCAGCATAAGGTGGAAAGAGCCAGCAGGGCCCATGAGCGCCCCTGTGCTGGGTGCAGGTGGCCCCAGGGTGTGTTGGGCGCATAGGGGCCCAGCCTCACCATAGACCTTTGCAAACAGAACATGCTTGGAATCGGGGCAGCCATGGAGAAAGGAAGGGTGCATGTGGGGGGTATGGGCTGCCTGCCCAGCACTTAGTGAGGACAACACACCAGAGCTCAGTGTGCAGACACAGCCACCTGGAGGAACAGAGGTGGGAACAGCATGGCTGCAGGGGTGACGGTGAGGGGTGGCTGCAGGGGTGACGGGGAGGGGTGGCTGCAGGGGTGATGGGGAGGGTGGCTGCAGGGGTGACACGATGGGAAGGGGGTTACTGTAGGGATGG